AGGCGTTTAAGAGCAAGAATCAAACCCTGGGGATGAAAGAGTGTCGGCTGCTCATTGTCCAAGGTTATCCCGTGTTGCAGAGGCTGAAATGCTTCGCTTTAGACCCGCGTAACCCCAGATATCCTTAAGAAAAGAAAAAAACCCTCCAGAGTCAGCGAACCCCTGCAGCCGGTCACATTCCCTCACGGCGAGGTCACGTATTGAGACGTAAATGACCTTTTAATGTCGCTTCTAGCTCGCAGTTTACAGGTAAACTGTGCAGCGTCGGAGTCGCAGGTGCACCGAGGTGACGAATAATAACGCTCTGATTTATACCATTAGGAGAAATCTCTGCGGGGATATTTTTACATCTAAAGCGGATGAAACACCCTGAGGAAGCCAGCTAGTAGCAACTCCCAGGGCAAACAAAGAAGAGGACGGCCAAGAAACACCTGGCGACGGGACCTTGAGGTAGACAGCAGGAGGATGGGACACACCTGGAAACAACTGACACAAAAGTCGTCACTTGAACAAATGCTACAGATCCCCTGTCTGTGGAACAACTTTACTTGATGTCTCCAAAGCCACGAAAGACACAACTCTCATTTTCACCAAACTCTGTGGAAAAAGTCGAGGGATTTTCAGAAGCGGTGGAAACTTTACAATCGACTGTTGTGCTTCAGTTCAACCTAAACCCAGCTGCTGTTTACATCCGTCGACTTTCTTTCCTGCTCTCATGAACTGCATTTTAATGCAGCTGAATTCTCAATGCAGCTGCTCTCGTTTACAGATGTTTCTGTTTCTGAAATTCTGCAGCTCATTATTATATTTATTTATTATTATTGTTGTTGTTATATGTCAACCAGCATTCACTAAAATATGGTTTTTACAGCAGCAGTCGTCTGACAAACAAAAAAACAAAACTTGTGTTGTGAATTCAAAGATATTTCCGTGTAGAACTTGATCCAACACATTCATTTGCTGCTGTTTTTTTATTTTTTTTTGCTGTCAGTCCCAGATGCAGAGAGAGTCTTCTTCCTGAAGCATTTAAAGCTCCCGACACTGAAACAGCCCGTTTTAGTTACAAAAATCGTGGAGGAATGAAGCATCTTTGCAGTATTTCGAGCTGAGAAACTGAAGGACACATTCTGGTGACATGTGAGACTTGAATCAATGAGCTGAAGATGCCAATAACATGCAGCCTTTAGGCTTTATTTATTCAGCACATCCTACAGATGCTCAAACGGGCCGAGATCTGAGGAACTTGGAGGTCAAGTCAGCACCTTGAACTCTTGGTGGTTTGTCGGTTGTTGCAGTGCAGCAGAGAATGATCCTGCTGGACGGATGAAGGGGCGTACGTGGTCTAAGCAGGAGTGACGTCCATGTGAGCGCAGAACTCCAGGTTTCCCACGGCTCCCATAGAGCATCCAGCTGCCACCTTCTCACCGGGGAAATAACGCTCTCTGTCCACAAGCTGTAAAAAGAAAACATGATTCATCGTGATTCATCGTCTTCCAATCGGCTATTAGCAGAGACACCACAGGTACTAACGGCGGGTGCAGGTGTCTGTTCTTCCCTGCTGGTCCACTGTAATGACTCACTGGGACGCTCAGTGGAACCGTCATTAATTCCACCTGTGTTTCCTCCACTGTGATCAGTCAAAATGTAAGCTGTGGGGAAAAGCTCCATGGTCCAGATGTGGAGCTCATGAGCCTGTTTTTTGGAGGTTTAATTCATAGATATGTATAATAAAGGCTAGACGTCTCGTCCGCGCTGTTGGCCAGTGGAGTCGCACGGCCACGCTGGCGGCCATCTTGGTACAGTCCACTCGCTCACCCATAACATTGTGTTGTAGTGGTGCATGTACTTTTTAAATAACCATAACTTGCTCAATTTATCAGTTATAACGCTGCATTGATGGATAATTATGTTACACTCTCACGGCCAGCAACAATTTGTATTTTAATTATTTTGTATTTATATTTTATTTATTTATTTATAATTTGTATTTTTGCAATTTGAATTGTAGCCACGTTTGTAATGTTTGTAAGAAACCAAACCGTTTGTAAATCCGTCAAGATTTCAGCGAGATAAGAGTATTTACGTTCGTGCAGATCACTCACCTGCCTTCTCGTACCACACGTTCTGCCAGAGAGCTTCCCTGTACCAAGATGGCCGAAGGGTGATCCTGTTCAAAACCTTAAGACATCAAGCCTTTATTATATGTATATCTATGGTTTTATTGGTGCACAGGTGTCAATGTCACACACAGCAACTTCCTGTTTTATTTTGACGTTTCCTGTCATAAATTCACACTCGCTCTCGTCTCAGGTGTCTTTACACTCCCCTGTCCTTGTCAGTGTGATCACCTGCCTCCTCCTGAAGCGTTCTACCCACGCCCGCTGATAGGAGGGGACAAACGGGTCTGTTGTCCCGGGCCCAGAGTGGGTGGGGGGCCCAGAACTGGACCCTCATTGAATTATGGATTTTTTTCCCCAAAGAAAGGCTATTAATGGAAAGAAACAGTGCAATATTTGAGTTAGAAGTTTTAATTTGTTTTCATCTGAACTGTCCTTAATATCTTTGGAATCGCCCTCCACCCCCACCTCCAACATTAAATGGTTTGGCCCCTGATCAACATTTGATGTCCTTTGATTGGAAGTTCGGATTTTGCACTTCAGCACCAAAATGTCCGCTCAGCAGAAGTCTGGTGCTCAGAAAAGGAAAAAGAAGAGAAAAAGAGAGGAAGAAAATAGAGGCCTTAGAGATTTGCTTAAAAAATACTTTTAAAAAGGTGGTGACAACGAAGCTGGAACTAGTGAAGTCAACGTAGAGCGAGGTAAGAAACAGCGGAGCCAGCGTTTGTTAGCCTTGTGACGTCATTTGGCTAGCTGTTAATATCCATTAGCTATGATTAAAATCCTGACAAAACACGGGTTTTTTTCTAATATCATCTTGTCCCGGGCCCAGGGAAGGCTGTCAGCTGGCCTGTGTATATCTATGATTTTATTGGTGCACAGGTGTCAGCGTCACACACAGCAACTTCCTGTTTTATTTTGACGTTTCCTGTCATGCATTCACACTCGCTCTCGTCTCAGGTGTCTTTACACTCCCCTGTCCTTGTCAGTGTGATCACCTGCCTCCTCCTGAAGCGTTCTACCTGCATGTGATTATCGTTTATGCCCCAGTAGATACTAATCAGGTGTATCTCTACTGTCTTACCAGCCATTTCCTCGTTGTTCTTCCCCAGCACTCCTACATGTGTCCGGTTAGTAGTCTTTGTGTTTCTTCATCCGTTGCTTCCATTGTTTTAGTTTGCTTTTGGATTCTTGGTAATCTTTTGCTTCCCGCTCTTGTGGTTTTTGTTTCCACCATGTTGGGTTCTCTTTTCGTTTTTTTAGACGCTGAGATGCTTTTCAGAAACCTTTTTACTATAGTTGCATTCAGTAATTTTTTGCAACCTGTTCACTTTTGGTACAAACGTCTGCAGATCAGTCACAACCAACAAGACGTGAAGCTCTGGAGCTGCTTTGAAAGTCATCTGGCCATCAGAGTTTAGGCCTGGCTATGGCTAAAGTTGATCCTTATACCTCCATCCATCCCAACAAACGTTAGAGACCCAGGAAGCTTTGTGGAGTTTAAAACCGGCCTACAGGTCGTCACCATTGTAGCATGCTAGCACTTTGTAGCGGAAACTTCACTTTATGATGGAACTCGTTTAGGCTCCACTCTGCTCTTTTTTTAAAATTAGTTCATCTGAGAGACTTTTATGAGGAATGTTTCTGACTGATCATTCTCAAATTTATTAGATCTGTTTGTATTGATCAGTCTTATAATCAGAAGTCGTGAATCTCAGCTGCCAAACAAACAAATTTACATATTAATGAACTTCATACAAACAATAAAACGTAACGAATAAAATGGCAAAAATGGTATTTATTATATTTAATTTTTATTTTTCAAGCTGATGGACTGTTGGGAGTTGTGTTGTTTTGTTTTGTTTTGTGTGGTTTTGTTTTTGTTTTTTTGTTTTTTTTAACCTGGTGACAACAGATGTAAATTAGCTGCTAGCTAACAATGCTGCGTTTCATTATCCGATAGCAAAAATTAGCAAAATAATCCAAACCGTTCCTGCTTCCAACAAACTTCCAACTCCAAGAACGTTCGGCTGAATATTTTTATTTTATTTATTTCCCACCTCTGTATTGAGATAATAAACTTTATTTATGTTGCAGCTCATCGGCGTAAGTTAAAGTTTTCGTGCGTTACAGTCCGAGAAAGCTCTTCCACTGAGGTCCTGACCTCTATAGTTTCTGTTTCGCCAACCTGGAGGGTATTTACATAAAAAAAATATTTGCTGTTTATTTATGAGCCGGCTCCTGTGTTTTTATACTATTTAAATTTCGCTGCCTCAAGGCCAACACATGAATAAATCAATAACGGTTTCAGCATTTCCCCTCAGAGTTGTATCCCTGGCAGTGTCCATAATTTCGGCGGCGTTTCATTCTGTTGCCTCTTCTCAGACAATCGGAGAGTCCCAAAGCTGCAGCTACTTTATCCGTAATCTCAGAGAGCACAGAGTGGACTGAAATACGGCAGCACGGATAAATAATGAAGACGTCGGGCTGCTTACTACACGCCGAGACGAGAATAGCTTTGTGATGCAACATCGCAGGAGAGGACTTAACAAGAGCGAGCTGTGCATTACACTTAGCGGCAATTCAGAGCGCCATGAAATATTTAGAGGCTCGACTCTTTTTGGGTTTCTTGTCGTCCTGCGTCTCATCAGCGGCAGACATCTGTCCTCCTGCCGGTTTGGGGCAGGTCAGATTTTTTTTTCTTTGCACCAGAGTTGATCGGTCAAGACTTGTTGTGCGATTAAGAAAGTGATATTAGGTTTAATTTCAGTGTGCATCCACTTAGATTTCTTATTTATCGTCTTCTCAGACGCCCACATCTGGTGTAACTGAGTCATCTCTCTCTCTGGTTTACAGCCTCCAGCTAAATCTGATAAAGTTACTTCATTCACTATTCCTGCTTTTACACAAGACTCTTCTGCATCTCCAGAGAGAATTATGTAAGTTTTTGTGTCTCGGTTTGAAACCTGTCTGAATAAATATGAACACAGCAGAATACAATAGTTTATCTGTGTGTGGGGAGAAAAAAATGCCACTGAGAAGATTGGAAGAAGCCAAAGAGTTAAATGAATCTTCTCCTGTTGCGTTTGTGAGATTCTGTTTAAAAGAAGAAGAAGAATCCATACGTGTTGCTTCTTTGCACAGCAAGAGACTAAATAAAGTTAAACAAAGACGCAGCTGGAGGAGTAGAAACTTTAACGCTTCAGCAGGAATCCACGTAATATGCTTTCATTCTTATTTAACTTTTCATGCTCTCAATACGACAGATGGGTGATTATTAGATGGTGAGGATGCTTCTGTCGAGGCGTTCTGCTGCAAGTCGTACAAGAGAAACACAAAAGGAGACGATATGAAATTAAAAATGTTATTTATAATCCCACCAACAGCAGGTGAAAGCTTTACAAAACAAAACTATACAGATAAAAGCACTCAAATCTGAATGCTCCATTGGATTCCCTTTTGAGCAACACAACATCTCAGGAATGTCTTGAGTAAATTTCGACCAATTTTTCCACAAAAGTCCACTTGCACTTCAAACATAGGAGGTCAGAGGTTACGGTAGCCTCAGAAATCCTGTTTTTGACCAAATAAGAATTCATGATTGCATCCTGCGCTGATGACAGTAATCTTTGGTTAAAACTGAGCTGAGTGTGT